CACTGCATAAATATTAATACATGGCCTCTCCATTTTAGGAGTACGGGTTCCATCACTGCCCTTGGTTACCCTTCTGCATAGGTCATCAACAAGTATCCAGTGCTTCAAATAACAGAGGCAGTGGTGATTAAAATTTCGTAGTGACACGAGTGGATTTGATCCCAACATCAATGATACATCTTGTCTCTTTCACTCTATGCATGGTTCCGTCCGCTTTGGGGTTTCAAGGCGCATACTGCTCAAGTCTGCACGACGCTCTACATTGTAGGGATTTTATATGCCAACTGATGTTAGAGGAACGTCTGTCTAGCACTGAAGTCATTAATAATGCACGAAAAAATGTAAAGCACCATCACCGAGCTACTGTCCTGTGTCTATTTCACTTTGTCATGTCATTCTTATTTTACTCCTGCTTAATTTTTAATTGTGGTTCCATTCAGCCGCTAAGGATTTTGACAAGGAACTACTTTGTTTTATGCATAAGTGCCACAGGAATTGCCATTATGGCCATTTAAGTACTGTAGTACTCGAATCGCTTAACAGTCTTCGTGAAAAAAAAAACATCGTCGAAACACCACTTAGCGGAGATCAAAGGCCCCGCAATTGGTCCTTCAAAAATACGGTTAACATATAAAACTGAATATTTTATCACTTTATGGCTATAAAAAGACAAAAGGTACCTTCTGCCGCTGTAAGGAAATGAATTACTCGTTCAGTGTTAAATTCACTAAAAACCAAGCAACTTTCTTGAAAATTTTAGCAAAAATCTCCACTTAAAGTTGACAATAAATTCATTTAATAGAATCATTTAGGTGCCTACATTTGCAGGATAGGCACATAAATAACTGTTAGGGAATTCACCTTTGACAAACAGGAGAGCACACGTGTTAATATTTAACTGCATTACTATGGGAAAGGTAAGCATTCAAACCATAAACTCAGCTTGGAAAATTAGTAACTTGCTGCAACATTAAAAAGCGCACACGGAATAATTAATAATCTCATTCTAGCAACTGGACCAACTTCGCATTTCGTTATTTGCAGAAAAGATTCCGTTGATTTCGAACGCTTTTTTTTTCAGTAATTCCAGCCACCACAGGGTTGATTGGCTCAAAAATTACTAATTCTGTTGCAAAAGCCATTGACGATTACCTGAAGACGAGGTACAAAAGCTGTAGCTCCTATGGGCCTTATTGGCCAGGCAGTCATGGTTACACCATTAACATAATGGATGGTAATGAAAAATAGGAATACCATGACACTATCCTCAGATGTGTGATAAGCCGTTTGAAATCGACAGGAAACAACGCGACTCAAAACTACCATCAAAAAAAACACTGAACACATGTATTTAGAGGTCATGCATTGTTTCAATTTTTAGTCCAATACAATGGGAAATTAAGCATTTGCTGAGGTGGTTACCAGCTTTGTTTAGCATATAAACACTTGATATTGCAAAGGCTATAAAGAAATGAAAGGTAAAAACAATTAGTTGTGTTGGGGAACGGCTCCTTTGAAGCACTCAATGGGGCACTTGAGTGCAACAGTAAACAGTTTTGCATTAACTGTCCACTTTATGGCAATGCTGAAGTTAATAGTTTTTTTAATTTATATGTGATTAAACAATTTGTACATTAAATGAATATAACATAGTTTAACACCTGGCGCATGCTTTTAACAGATTGTTTTTGGTTAGTCAGTGACCTCATTTTGCGAAGCTTTCATAAGGCATCACATCTCACCATCATTCTTCCTCACTGGGATTCAAAACCCAAAACCGCTTGTGATAAAAGGACAGGCAAAAGGCAGTCTATAAAATAAATTGCATGAAAATACGGTATCAACGTATAAATAGAACAAATTTAACACCTGACTCAACTATGGAGTTATTATTATGTTAGCCTAGATGTTGCCTCATTTTGAATTCAGACCATTGATATAAATGAAAAAAGACAAAGCGTCACAATGCCAAGATGATATATATGTACATTGCATACCAAATTCTTTGAAAGCCGCCCAAGATCACCCCTTGCGTATCTAGCCACCTCCGGTGGATACCCATTATTGTCCGCCCTGCAGAACTCTTGAGGCGAGTTCAGTGGCTTGATAATGCTGAAGGCTGGTTTATGCTGCTGGAGGCGCAATTCAACTGCAAATTAAGTAAAGCAATTTAAATGAATATTACAAATAGTATTACAGAGCCAAATTTAACATGTACATCTCCTTGCCTTCTTGCTCCCATAAAACAATCGCCATTTGCCCATTCGGGGTAATCTCAGCTTCATAACTTGTAGAAGCCACATTCCCTTACATGTCAGATATCTTTCTATAAACATCAAGCAAAACTTCATTATGGATGTTTCAAAATGTTTGGAATCAAATGTTGCTTCTTCCTTTTGCGGCTGTATTGCAAAATACCATCGGTAATAGTAACCGTGGCAAAGACAGTACTTCCGTTATGTATTGAAAGGGTTTGAGAAACCAACTCAGACGTGTGGACCTAGTGTGCACTTAGTAATACAGAGCTTTTGTTTACCTGAATCTAATTTTGCTAACCACCTTTATCAATGCAGTTCTATTAAATTTTTTAGGGTGTACTTCTCCAGCTAGAGCTTAATTACGACCTCATGAAGGGCAGCTGATGGAGGGTAAACAAAGGCCAGGAGATCAAAGTTGTAACTACAACTGCGTAGAATGGGTAGTCGGCCCAGATCTGCATATGGATCAAAAGTATTCTTCTTTTGAACAATAACTTTATACCATATTTTCTTCCCGTTGACGCACAACAGCACTAGATGTAAAGTCGGTTAATTTAAGCACTTCTAAATTTAAAAGTTTACAGCAAATATTTTATACTTTAAAGACGAAATATGTCTCTAATTCCTTAAGAAAGTGTTAAAAAAGGTTGAGACCGAATTCGGGCTTACAGCTTCCAACGCCATTGTCTCCTATTGATGCTTTTGTCCGCAACGTTTACGTTTTCTGGATGAAAAAAAAGTCGAGGCTTAAGTTGAATAACTTATTTTTTTGTCAGTGCCGCGTTTTTAGTTGATATTTAGTCTTTTGAGTTCGATGACTAAATTATCAGAGCACACATTAGCCGTAATAAAGGAGCATTATAACTTTTAACTGTTTTTTGCCATCTGGGAAACCTTTTTTGCTGTAGAAATGTTTTGGCGCCAACACGTTCCATTAATGTGTGAAGTAGATGTGATTTATATGATGAAAATACACATTTAATTCCCTAACCTTAGCATGAAAAATGGGCTCAGCTTATTACACTGTATAAACGATTATGTACTCCGAGTGAGTAAAAAATGATTGCATACATTAATTCCGATTTTTTCAACTTGTTTAGTTATGAAGCAAAATTTAATGTTCTTTTGGGTGATATCTTTTATTTCTCATTTTGAAAAGATGTGGAAACCACAGTTTGCAGGCTTTTGAATAAAAGAGCTAACTGTTTACTCCCCACGTCCCACACGGGAATGCGTTTGCTAGGAGACAGAAAATGGTTTACAGGGCTGGTAAACGCAGTCATCGTTGGTTTGCGTAAATATTTTCTCTGTTCTTTGTAGCTTAAGTTAGGATTTTGTGCAAAATAATTGCCTTCTGAAACGACCGACAGTGTCCTTAGAAAAGCAAAAGCACCTACTGTTATACCATCTACCGTGACTTGCAGTCCTAGAGCCGACCCTGAGGCAACAATTAGGCACACTATTATTTATTTATTTATTATTTATTACTATCATACAGAAGGGTGGTAGGCTATAGGCATGGACAGGAGGTTACAGTAACCCAGAGAGTGATAAAAGACAAGGCGGCTAAAGAGATCCCATGGGTATATCGGTTCCGCTGCAGCCTCGTTCTTTCATCGCAATATTCGTCTTTGCCTTTGGAAGGTTTGTGCATATGACTTTACCTTACGAAGTATTATGAAAATCTGGTAAATCAGCCATAATGAGTTGCTCAGCTAGGACAAGTTTGCATAAAAGGGTACTAAAATTAACCAAAAATGAAATCTACTTGCGTGGTATTATAAGTATGGATCCAATAGATGATAATTTACTGATTTTTTACAAATAAAGGAAAGATAGATTCTTTGTAAGATTTCTCATAACTTTGGAGCTTTTAATATGCTTTATGATTAATTTATTGTTTTTTGGTGGGTAACTTTTACGCTAGCTGTTGGTTTAGTACGTTGGCGAGTCGGTTGTAAACAAGTTAAATGAGAGCATTTACTTCTCCGTTTTCAACAAAATTAAGGTTACAAAAAGTTCAGAGACTGAACCACTGTAGTACAAATATCTCCTTAAATTCCACTCCTCTGGCCAGAAAGCAGGTAGGTGTGTTAACTCCGATTTAGTTTGCAGTTCTCTTGAATGTGCAAATTTCTTATTGTCCATTGTGAGGTTTTTAAACCGCGTTTGCTACTTAGCGTCCACCGATGCATTGTTCTAGAAGAAGGTGAGGCTTGCAGAGATATTTTATAAATTTACTTTAAAACATAACCCAAAGATATAAAACTGACTAATTTTGTACACAAAATTAAATTTTTAAATAGATGTTTTTATTTGCATTTGGTATTCGTTTATGGTTTGATCAGATAATATCTAACGGTCACTCATTAAAACTTAGGTGAGAGGTGATGAGGATTAACGAACAAGGGTAAGTTTCAAGTCCTTTTCGTTGCACATTGTGATTAGCGGACAGGAAGAATTTACAAAAACTTTAAAATAGATCCATTCATGAAGAAACTTTGTCTTTGAAGAGGTAATAATTTCACTACATTTTTGAGATTCCGATTGACGTCACTAAAGACAGGGAGGAGGCGCGGTTACG